CCCCGTCCCCCTAATACCACCCCCCCCCCCCCCCCTTTCTTTTTCCTTTTTTTTTTTTTTTTTTTTTTTTGCCAATCGCCATCCCACGACAGCCTACCCGGAGGAAAGGAGTCGGGGAGGGGAACGCGAGGACACACCCGCATATACTGTACCCGCTGTACGCGGCGAGGATGCTGTAGACAACATGATGAGGTGACTATCATCGACTGTCCCATATTGGAAAATTCATGTTTTTTGAACCCCATCCCTGCATGAAGCCAGGAGACCTGAGTGTCGCAGCTGCGTTTTCACCTCCCTGATCACAGCAGGAGCTTTAACTCACAGCTGCAATGAAGAAGATGTCAGCAGGTATGTGTGAAATTAACTATAAAAGCAGCTTACATCCGGTCACCACATCAAAAACCTGTCTGTAGATTAATGTGCACTTCTGAATCTCTACATCACAAGTGTGTATTTTAATGGACGCCTTGTGAAGGATTCACCATTAAAACTGCACTTTCCCTCTGATTCTGATTTTTCCTTCCCTCTATTGGAACATATTTCCTTGTGTGTATAAATTATTTATAGGTGTTTCTGAATATTTCAGCGACGAGGCTCCATTTCAAGGAGATATTTCTCCAAACCAAACTCGTCTCATGCCAGTTAATGTGAGACATCTGTGGAGCTGGCTCTCCCTCTGCGGTGAATCTCAGAGGTGTTATGAACATTTGTGCTCAGACTGCAGTGGTTATCAATGATATTCTAGACTGGATGCTGTCTGTGCCGATTCAGTGCCTGCTGCAGTGCCATGTCGGTGCACGGCACCACTGCAAGAAGGTATTCCCGGTCGTTCCATTGGATGTGTGCACAGCAGCATATCGCTGCCCTGGATTTATGAGGCGCTGGGCTCTGTGTGCAAGGCGAAGAGCTTATTAGCATATGAATATTTCAGAGGCAGCGGAATGTCTCTAGTTCTGTATGGCAATTAATAATATGTATTAACCACTAACGGTCTGTGGTATGTCAAACGGTTTGACACTGTCTTCAAAGGATGGTTTCAAGTTTACCTGACCTTGTTTTCTGTCTTTGCTCCTTTCTGTCCCACCTACAGTCAGACCATAGCTGACATCCTGTGGGCATCAGGTCTTTACGGTGTTGAGCCCCCTCCCTCTCCTGGCTCCTGCCTGCAGTTCTCCAGGCTGCAGGACCCAGACTCCCTGAAAAGTGCAGGCCTCCTCTCCTTGCAGAATGACTGTTGCCACAGGCGACCCCTCTGACGAGGCAGCTGCGCATCCGGGTCACCCGCAGGATTACGACCCGGAGGCTGACCATGAGTGCTGCGAGAGGGTGGTCATCAACATATCAGGGCTGCGCTTTGAGACCCAACTTAAAACGCTCTCTCAGTTCCCCGAGACACTGCTGGGGGACCCTAAAAAGAGAATGCGGTACTTCGACCCGCTGAGGAACGAGTACTTCTTTGACCGGAACAGACCCAGCTTTGACGCCATATTGTATTATTATCAATCAGGGGGCCGGCTCAGACGGCCAGTCAACGTCACCCTCGACATTTTCTCAGAGGAAATCCGCTTCTATGAGCTGGGTGAGGAGGCCATAGAGATGTTCAGAGAAGATGAAGGTTTTATCAAGGAGGAAGAGCGCCCCCTTCCAGATAATGAATTTCAGAGACAGGTATGGCTGCTCTTTGAGTATCCAGAGAGCTCAGGTCCTGCTAGGATTATTGCCATAATCTCTGTCATGGTTATCCTGATATCTATAGTCAGCTTCTGTTTGGAGACCCTCCCCATTTTCCGCAACGATGAGGACGACATGCACAAGGCTCACGCTGCAGTCTTCTCACCTGAGACCAACACCACCATCATCAGGTACACCTCCACCTACTTCACTGACCCCTTTTTTGTCCTGGAAACTCTCTGCATCATATGGTTTTCCTTTGAGTTCCTGGTGCGGTTCTTCGCCTGCCCCAGCAAAGCGGGTTTCTTTGTGAATATAATGAACATTATTGACATCGTCGCCATCATCCCTTACTTCATCACACTGGGCACTGAGCTCGCAGACAGGCCAGATGACGGTCAAGCAGGTCAGCAAGCCATGTCTCTAGCCATTCTAAGGGTCATCCGTTTGGTACGGGTCTTCAGAATTTTCAAGCTCTCTCGTCACTCCAAGGGGCTTCAGATTTTGGGTCAGACCCTAAAAGCCAGCATGAGGGAGCTGGGTCTGCTAATCTTTTTCCTCTTCATTGGAGTCATCCTTTTCTCCAGCGCTGTTTACTTTGCTGAAGCTGACGAGCCCGAGTCACAGTTTGAGAGCATCCCAGATGCTTTTTGGTGGGCCGTGGTGTCCATGACCACGGTTGGCTACGGTGACATGGTCCCGACAACCATCGGTGGGAAAATCGTGGGCTCCCTCTGTGCCATTGCTGGTGTGCTGACCATTGCCCTGCCGGTACCTGTCATTGTGTCCAACTTCAACTACTTCTATCACCGTGAGACTGAAGGTGAAGAGCAGGCTCAGTACCTACAGGTCAACGTGCCTAAGTCGGACTCCGCAGAGGAGCTGAAGAAGAGCCGGAGTGGCTCCACCATCAGTAAATCAGACTATATGGAGATCCAGGAGGCCGTGAACAACAGCAACGAGGACTTCCAGACGGGCAACTGCACACTGGCCAACACAAATTATGTAAACATCACCAAGATGCTGACCGACGTGTAGTCATCTGCTGGTTTTCTTGATCACGAGAGTGGGAAAATGTGGAGCCGAGCATCACGATGGGACAGCTGTACCCCCACCTCCTCACGAGAGCTGGGAAAATCATGGCAATAGAAATCAGGACGTCAATGATGATGATAGACAGCTAAAAAAAAAAGTTACATAGGCGTTTTTTGATCTGCTCTCATCCTGTCGTCAACTTGCTGTAAGAACTCCTGATTACTGTCGAAGAGGGTGAAATTTTCCAGTTTCATATTTCTGCATGGATCTGGCTTCATCTGTGTGGCTTTACAAAAAAAAGAACAAAACAATGAAAAACAACAACAAAACACGTACCAAACTCGTTCTGTTGATGACAGTAGCCAACAAAAGGAGAAGACACAGCGAGATAGAAGAAGAAAAAAAAAAGCTTGAAAAGCAGCACAAACACCTCAAAGCTTGCTTCAGCCGCCGCCCCGCGCTTTCTCATTCCCCTACACACTGCTCTGCCCTGCACTTTCTGAGGAGCCCGAATCGCTCGCTACATATGCTGCTTCCTGGAGCCACTGGAACAAAATAATAATAATAACAATTTAAAAAAAGAACTGTCTTAAGCCACATCGTTAGATAAGAGGACATACGAGTGTAGAGGAAGCTCACTGCGGTCGGCCTGTCAGTGACGTTTGATGAGGTGGTTAAATACACCGCCTTATATCGAGGATGAATGAAAGCCATCGGCGCTAAGCTAATGGTTTGACACCTTCTTTTCCCAGTAGACATCAGTATCTGATGAATGACTGAGAATGGCCTTGACTTTTCAATGCTTTTGGTCCTACGTGTACTGTATGTATCACAAAATGCAAGCTTTTAGCCCCCCACCCCCCGCCCCCGTTTCCACCCATACACATTCACCCAGACTGGTCTTACTGCAGAGCTTTGAGGACAGCTTGAATGTTTCCTTCTTGTTTAGATTGATTTTCCACACACACACGTTGTTCATGTAGACACCGTAGACAGGCTTACTGTGACTAAACTGACGGCAGGTTAGAAAAGGTAGGTGCTGTTCGTAGTAAAACTTAGTGCGTAGATAATTGCATGACGTTTCTATCTCGATGAGAAAATTCACTTAACTGCCACTTGCTTCTTCACACCACTGTATATTTGTCCGTACACTGCCTTCTATACAGAATCTAAGGGTTTTTACAGAAAGCCTGCTGGTAGCTCTTTAAAGATGTAATAAACTAAAGCTGTATGTTAAAGGATTTCTTAAGGAATAATCAGGAGGTCCATTCTGTCCTGAGCAGGAAGTTTGAAGACCTCATCAGTAGTAACATTCCACGTAGGAATCATCATCAGCCGAACTGTGATTTCAGGCGTTACCGCACACCTTAGGCGTGGGCTTATCTAATCTCATCCGCAAACGTGGTAGACTCGCAGCGTTGTCCTTTTCGTGGGTTCATCACACGATGATATCATCTTCCTCCTGAGCAAAGTCGTAGACTTTAAGAACTTGTGCGTAGAATTATGCTTCCCCCAGATAAAACTGCCTCTTTTTTTTTACTTTTTTTTTATCAGAGATTAAGCTACTCGCATAGTGTTGCATGACCTCAGAACATTCCTAGAAGCATGCATTTAAGATTAAAGAAGAAGAAACAAGCCTCTGAGACAAGAATAACCATTATCATAGATTTATTTATTTCTAATATATATATATATTAAAATAAATACATGGATAAAAGCATATATGTATAAAGAAGAACAAATACGGTGCACATATACTTTTATTAGAGAAAGTAAATAACTAAAGGGAGGAAGAGACTTTCCACATCTTGAAGGTCATCGCCCTGTTTTGATTTTTAATGGTACTTGTACTCGTTCCCAGCACTGTAGTACGTGCTGCAGTTTCCCTCTGTGTGCCAGGGAAACACTTACTGGACGGTTCAGTAGTCACTGAAAGGCAAGTCGTTGTTCAAAACAATACATACATCAACCCTAAACTGACTTTTAGACCAGAAAGCTTTTATTGGCCCGGCTGAATTTAAATGGAGTCTGGCCGTCCTCAGAGATGTCTCTGATGCCAGGAGCTCAATCTGTCTTCAAAAGTTGGCAGTAAATGTGGTGATTCCGGGACCGGGTCCAGCTCGGGTTTTTTTTTTCTCCACAGCCCTCACGCAGCCAAGGTAACGGTCAAAGACAGAAACATCAATATTGGAAGTGATAATTAGCCGCAGTGTAGCAGACCTTTGGCTAACCTACCCTACGCGTCCTACGGGGGCAGCGCCAGAGAAGCTCTCCAGTGTCTGTCTCCTCTGTCTTTGTCCTTGAACCTTCTGTCTTTCTCCATCTTTCTGTGGATGTCAAAGGTCATTGGAAAGGTGACAAATAAGTTTGTAGCAAGCACTATCTGAATGATTTCCATCATCAAGGATGTATTTTTTATTTATTTTTTTGCTATTTCTTGTTATTCTTATTCTTGGTACTTTTATTCTTCAATGTGAGCCGGAGACGTTGGCGTTTATAAGTGTTATTTAAAGATTTTCATGGACGAACTTGAACAAAAAGGTGAGTTTTATCAATTGAAGGGTCAGGACCCTGAGGGTAAACCCGATTATTATCTAATCAGCAATATTCCCATTATTCTGAACTAAGGAAGAGTTTAATGTATTTTTATGTTATATTTATTAACTCTGTTGTTTATTTATATTCCTCTTATTGATAATATTATTTTTGTGGTATGTAAGTTTATTCAGAGTTGTGTGTGTGAGTGTGTGTGAGTGAGAGAGAAGAAGAAGCACTGAAGGTTGGTGTTTTATGTCATGGTTGTACGGCTGCATTTATGCAAGAGTCATTTCCATATATATATATATATATATATATATATATAAATGAAACAAAACAAAATAGTCTGACCAAAAATATCCATCTATGCATGAACACGCATCAAATCTCTCCACGTACTTCACCGTCGGTTTGCATTGCTCCAATATTAGTCACATGACTGCACTGTACCTCAGCTGAATTCACTGTAGCACATTCACTCATACACTACAACAACATGGTGGAAGAGAAGAAGAATTCTGCTTGAAAAGGCAGAAACAAATGACATCCTGTTTTTTTGGTTGTTGTTTTTTCTTCATTGGAGGCAAAATTAAGATGAAATCATTTACGTTTGGGGGAGACTAGGGAGCGTCTAAAAATACCTGTCTCACCTGCTGAGTGACGCACCAAAAGGTGCACTCAGTGACAAAAGCAGTGGATCTGCTGAGAAACCTGTGCAGAAAGATCAGCGGTTTCTATTTGTGATGTTAAACAAAGGTTTAAAGTGCAGATTTGTACATGTAGTAAAACCTGGTGGAGCGTTTGACACAGTTGTGCAAAGGTGAAGTACTTCTTTCACACTCACACTATTTTTTAGTTCCTGAAGCACAGGGTTTTCTTTGGACTGGATCAGCAGCTCTTTACTCAAACTGACGTTGTGATAAGAATAAAAACATTTCATCTTCCTGGGAACCAAGATAATCAATATGCAATCGGTGTGCATGTGTTTGTGAGTGGACGGTTGTTCTTCTTTTTCTTTGGTTTTTCTCCCCCCCCTGCCCCCCCACTCCCCTCAGCCAGATCCAACAGCACATTAAGGACACAACACCAACAGAGCGTCACCCCACTCCCACCCTTTGTCATGGAGGCCTGAAAACATCCATCAATGTCAGTGGATTACGGATTTTCTTTCTGTGAAATGAAATGTGATAGAATACTGTAAATACTAACCAACGAAAGAAGGAGAAAAATATCATGCTGTATACTGTATACGTGACGTTTGGAATTCAATACATAGTATTATCTGCACTTTACCAGACAAAAAGGACAATCCATGGACAAGAGAAAACATTGTGTGACTTTACAAATGCATATAACCGTTCCCCGAGGGTCATGACCTTGACAGAGTAATATCAACAATGAAGCCAATAGTAAAGCCACTCCACTTGTGCCGTGTGGTTATTGTGTCCTGTCTCACAACACCGGGGTTGTCGTCGAATGTTTGATCACTGTCGTCAAGATGACTGGAGAAGCTAATTTTAGCCAAGAAAGTGTCAGCACTAGAAAAAAGAGAAAATGTCAATATTTGATGCCTTTGTAGTTATTCCTAGCAGGGCCTTTGTAGCACAGAACATTTTCAACCATACACAGTATCTTTAGCTCCTTAAGTGCACAATATAGACTGCTTGGAAGGAGAGAACACGTTGTTCTAAAAATATAGTTTTTTTGTTGAAGGAAGCGATAGTAGGAGGAGAAACGTGACCAGTGAAGGAGACGGAGAAGAAGGAGAAAAGGATAGAATGTGAAGTGGTGGTTAGTGGTAGAAACAAAGAGCTATAAATACAGAAGCCAGATAATATTCTAGAGCAGGGGTTCTCAACCCTCAGTCTGTGGACCAGTACCAGTCCATTGGTCATTTGGTACCAGGCCACAATGAAATAACCAATAACTTACTTCACCTACATAGAATCTGGTCATTTCCTCTTTTTCAAATTATTATGTCTTTCAGAAAATGATATAGAATAAAGTCTAAAAGTTATTTTACTGTTCCTTAACAATCCTCTAATGGTCCTTTAACCAAAAGGGCGGCGCTAGACTTAATGTATTACTGTCCTCCTAAAAAAAGGAAGATGTATAAACAGTAAATATAATGATTTTATTTTAAAATTAAAACATGGGGATAATGTTAGAGAAGAATAGACTTCACATTATTACATGTGTCTGAAGTACAAGGCAGCGAAATGCCAGTGTTTGTTTAATTTGTTATGATGTTTACTGTTTACAAACGGTGTCACCATGACAACTGGTGAGACAGTCGGCTAAGGACAACGGCCTGGTGCAGGTGCAGCATCTTTATCTTCAGGTGCTGTTGTCAGGCAGCAGGGAGTGACTGAGCGTTGTTTGTCAGAGATGGGAGCGGGGAGCGCCCCCACAGGAGCGCGGCTGACTAGTCATGTGGGTTTGCGCTGTGCTTCTCCTGGTGTAATTAGAAGACATGCTCTGTGGGAGTCTGTGCTAATCCCACTGAACTGCCCCGGCCCCCAGACCACGGTTAATTACGATCACCTGAACCTCACTCCGACTGAGTCCGTCTGCAGCAGAACAAGAGCAAATTAAATTTAGCTTTGATTATTGCCTTCGTTCCGGGATCCATGCAGTTGCAAGGTGAAGTCATACTGCCCTCTAGGGGCGATTTTAAGACGTGAGTCGTGTGTGCATGAGACAAGATTTAAAAAAGGAATAATCAGTTATATATTCTTTAACATTGAATCTTGACACAATCTGCATAAATACAAGGCAGGAAGAGTTTTTTTTTTTAATTAATACTATCTTTTATTTAAATAAATACATAAAACTATTTTGGTGTTTACATTTTAAAGCTGATTATTACTGATATTTATATTTATAAACATGTTATTTTCAGACTAACGAAAGAAATATTATATACAAAATCACATAAAGGATTTTTGTTACAACATGCAAACACACACACAAACGCACACGTACGTATATACATACAGTATATGCATACATATATACATATACACATGTATATGGACACAGACTAAAGTCAGAGATATAAATAGATATACAGTAGAAACAAGAGTGGAATGGAAACGAAGAATATAAATAATCCTTCTTAAAATAGGAAAAAAACAGACTGAGTCACTAAGGAAAATGTGATTATCAGGACGCAGGACTGGATAAGAGCTTATACCAGGTGTTAATGAGATGTTTGTACTGTGGGCAGTGACCTTATGACCTGGTGATGACTGGTGGTTTAATCTGAGGAACAGCAGTGAGTTATCTCTCCTCTTTCACCAGTCTGTATGGAGCTCTAATAATACATACATACTGTATACTGTACAGCCAATAGGAATAAAACATATGAAACCTGAGAGAAACCTCAGAGCATGTGAACGGAATCATTTTGAAATTCTAACATCTGTCTTAAAAAAAGTTTGGCTTTGTTTATTGGCAGACTGACTCAGTGCTGTAACCGCTTTCATCCTGCAGAGGGAGGTAAATACAGACAGGCACCTGGAGAGAACGTTTTAGATAAATCACCTCTAGATGGTAAAATATAGTTGTTATTTAAAATATTTCTTTGTTTTTGTTTGTTTCTTGAACATTGTCATTTAATTTATTAAATGAAATGTATTATGTTAAAGAAAACATCCATAAGAGCAGCTTTGACTGTTTTTACTGTCAGGTCAGCATCAGGAGCTGCTGCCTTTCATCCTGGTGTGAAGGATATAAAGAGAACACAAAGACCTGCCTCATCTATTATGTATTGTTGATTAAGATGAGTGATGCATACATTAAGTTACTTAACATAAACAATTTTTTGTTTGTTTTTTTGTTTTTGGAGGCACATTCAATTCAAACACATTTTTAAAGATACCTGTCCAACTGTTTCTGTTATTTTCAACTTTACTCTTTACACTGTGTGTGTGTGTGTGTGTGTGAAAACCTGTACCATGACTTGTACGACCTTAAAGATTTATAGCAGCCCTATTGTTGTGAATCAGTAGACCATGCAGCCACACCATGGAAACAACAGCCAACATTGTCCCACTGTATAAGAAGACACCTGTGTGGAAGCTGAATACCTGTCCGTCCTCTGATAACAAGGCAGAGACGCAGCGGTAATGGCACCTGACCGATGCCTCCGTGTTATTCAACTCCTCCTATGGCCAAACACTAGGAGTGTATGAGGACACAATTGTAGTGTTGGAATATAACATAGTAATAACAGTAATTAACAGCAGAGTCTTGATCTGACAGTGTGTCAAACTGATGCCATGGAACTTTGTCTAAGAGAAAAAGAAAAAGTTGGAAATCAAACCAGCGTCAGTCACTCCAGCTTTATTTTGAATCTGTCTGTAATCTTTAATCAGGAGCCAACCCTGGCGTGTGACCAGAGAATTTTACAAACAAGTGTGCAATGTGATAGACCGGCGGTCAGGAAGATGGACAGCTGCAGGATGAATTCATTCAAGCTTCTAGGCAGAGACTGTGGCTGAAGATGAGGCTCCAGGAAAGAGCAAAGTTGAGAGAAGACAAAGAGCAGGTTTCAGGTGACATTCTGTCATACTGTCCTAACATGAAGGTCAGGTGGAACATATGTATATATATATATGTACTGGTTTTTATATTGAAAATCAATATAACCAGTGTACATGCTTCCTCATCTAATGCCATGCAGCTGTTGATGCCCTTGTGGCCTCTGGACCCAACCTTGTACATTATTTGCACTGAGTAGAGCTTTTGCTTTAATATATATATATATACAGTATATAGGATTACTAGACTGGAATAACCATCTGACTTTAGCAGAGCTCTTAGATTACCAGGCTGGAATATTTAATCCCTGACACCTTACATGCACTTTGAAATTCTGTCACCCTGAATGATAGGGCCTTTGGTATGGACTTTTGAGATACAGTTATGACGTGAGACATCACTGAGAGGCTGCGTTTGATCAGCGTCATCATCTGGAGGTAACAGTGGAGAACCTGTAGGGAGGAATTTCAAATATTTTATGCAGAAAGAACAAATATTTAGGTGAGAATGAAACACAAATAGAAAACAGTTTGCATTTGTTCTTGCCTCAGTTATGGTAGTGTTTCACTTAAAGCACACTGGTTTGTGTTGCTACAACATTTTATTGTTTATAACATGTTTGACAATGAGATTTCAGATCATTTTTAACCTGTAATCATACAGATATGACCAAATATATATATAAACATATGTTCACACTATGCCTAGTCCACTCACATTTCAACTCCTGCCAGGCTGCATGTGTTTGCATCAGTGTAGCATGACATGGGGTGTCAGCTGATTAAGAAATCGCTTTGTCAACACCAGCCTTTCAATGAGTATGGGGACAGTGTCATGAGGACGAGGAGGCACGGAGGAGACTTGTTATCATTCCTGTCAGGAATCCACAGAAAAAGAAAGTCTGCAGCAGCTACAGTTCACCTGTGAGTCCATATGTCAGCATCAGTGCTACACTCTGATTTCCACTGACGCACGTCGTGGTGCAGGAGAACAGGCTGATTATTTACCCCCCACTGTGACACCTGGGTTCAGTCCGTGATCATTCCTCCACTTGTCTCTGCACCGCCTGCAGCAAATCCGACTGCTCAGTGTCGGAGTGACCGCTCATGCATCAGCTGACTGCGTTCTCAATGACACCAGAAAACAAACACACGCGTCACAGCTGTCCATGCACGTGCACATCTGTACCTCCGCTGCACACGCACGTCAGGTTCATGACCGCTGATGCACATGTGCCTCATGTTGGCTGTGAGCACACGTAGTAATGGAACAGTGAGAGGTGACGGAGTGCACTGGGTGGTGACTGCAGAGCATCACAACAGTTTTGTACCTGTGACCTTCAGAACATGCGACCTTGCCTGCAGTGGTGCTGCTAGTGCTGCAGTGTTGCAGGGGACCAGCCAAGAGCCAGCCCACGGCTGCAGCAGGACGAGGGAGAGTGAGATGAAGGGGTGATTTCTGACTCCAGGATACTGGTTCTCTATCCAGTAACACAATATTCAAGCCATGCTGCCAAGTTGGCTGCCCTTCTGGGGGAGCGCGAGATTAACTTTGATTAAAGTTTTCACCTCTCAAGAGAGTTGAACAAAACCTAGAAAAGCCTTGCTTTAAAGTTACATTTTACCATGTAATTATTTCACTCTCATGATTTGGACTTTTTCTTTTTTAATCAAATCTAAATCTAATCTTCACTAAGTTTTGGCTAAAACTTAATATATTTTTTTTAATTTAAATTGTAACAAAGTTCAACCAGGAGTGTGAACAAATGTGTTGGACAGATATGGCAATTTGGCATTTGGCAATTAATTTAATTTAATTTAATTTAATTTAATTTAATTTAATTTAATTTAATTTAATTTAATTTAATTTAATTTAATTTAATTTAATTTAATTTAATTTAATTTAATTTAATTTAATTTAATTTAATTTAATTTAATTTAATTTAATTTAATTTAATTTAATTTAATTTAATTTAATTTAATTTAATTTAATTTAATTTAATTTAATTTAATTTAATTTAATTTAATTTAATTTAATTTAATTTAATTTAATTTAATTTAATTTAATTTAATTTAATTTAATTTAATTTAATTTAATTTAATTTAATTTGTAGTCATAATTCTGAAATATTGATTTCCTAGAAACAACCCGCTCACATCAGCATGGAAGGCTGAGGCTGTAAACAAGAGATCTCCCAGAGGGGGTGTGAATGACTGCAGGTACCGGGGACTGTGATAAGTTCTGTACCAAGGGCAGAGTACGGTAACCAAGGTGAGGGTGGTTCGGATGATCTTGAATGAAAGTGCTTGTTCTGCAGGAAAGGGAGGAAAAGAGCAGGTCTCAACGCTCACTTTGCCTGGACCAACCGCCGTTGGCTCCTGTGGAGTAAATCTCCTATCAGAGAGCTACTTATAACCTGCTCATTTATCCCAGTGATGCTGGAGGGAGAACAAAGGCAGGTAACCCGTACTTTCTAAACGCCGCCAGTTGCGTGCATGCATGCATGTTTGTGTGTGTGTTTATCTCAGCTGTGTTTGGGCACATTTGTATGTAAGTGAGCGTGTGGGGCTACCTCAGGTGTGTCTGGTTTCAGATGGCTATCAGATGACTCAATGGAAGCCTTATTAGAGGCTGCGTCTCTGTTGATTCTGACTGAAGGAGAAGGCATAGAGAGGAGGAGGCAGCGGAGCAGCCCATCTACCAGACGGAGGACAGAGAACATGACAACTTCTGCAGAGCGGCTGACACTGTAAGGTGCGGAGCTGGCTTTAAATGTACAGTGTTACAAGTTACATTTACTGTTTGAAATGGTGTTTATATAGAGTTTTTACCTGTGTTTGTGAGGATTATGTGATCTCATCAGGAACTATAGTGACGCCATCGGTCTATTCTGTAACGACAGCCTAATGAAAGAAAAGGAAAAATTCAGTAAATCAAAAAAAAAAAAAAAAATTGTAAAAATTCACCAGCTAAAAGTAACTTGTTAAATGTCTTGGCTGCCTCCCTCTCGGTCGTGTTTGTTTCTCTTTCTTGTCCTTTCTCTCTGCTGACATGGCAGGATCGATAGATCGACTGTTTACATCAGCCCTATCATGGTTTTCTTACGTAAGAGGCTTTGGTTCAATATCTAGAAAACATTGTGCAGGGTGTCTGCTACAATGCAAGTGTAAAAAGAGCCGATGAGTCTCTCGGAGTGCGCAGGGCCCACGGTGTCAAGTGGACTCAAATGTTGCAGCTTAAACGCATGTGTCAGGGTTTGGTTACCTGTCCAAACCAGACAAATGGAATTATAAACAGCTACTTAGACGTAACGCTGACAGACTATCCTCAGCTGGACAGAGGTGCGTTAACCGACGCAGTGCTAATTGACGTACGAGCACTTAATCATTTAGGCAGAAAAAAAAGATTCTTCTGTGTCTCTCCGGATGACTTTTGATTTTTTGGTTTTCATTCAAAAGCAAAGTTACGTTTGTGTGTGGGTTTTTTTTTAAGAAAAAAAAAGTGACATGTTTTGAAATACTAAGCACACGGTCAGCGATAACATCATCCATACACACTGTGAGCACTTTCACAGCTGAACTTGCCGAGTTCAGTGTTTTCAGTGGGGTCACCGGAGGGAGAATTTGGAGGGGAAAAAAAAACCCAAAGAAAAATACCTGTACAAGCAGAGTATCAGATGGCAGCTCCACTGCTGATGCAAACAGCGCTGACAGAAAAACCTCTTTACCAACAAAACAGTAAAAAAGCCCCTTCACCAATAAAAAAAAAAACTCTGCTCTGCTCTTTCTTCTTTTTTATAGGTTACAAAAGGCTAAATTTGAACAAAGTGCACAGCTGTCTGAATGAAAACCAAGAAGAGAGAGGTCCTGCTGGGAACTACCTTGTGGCATAGCCGCTGGTTTCTGCCCCACTTCCTGCATTTACACCGGGCTGAAAGAGAAGAGAGCTGAAGAGGCCATGGAGGTGCCTCTTGTTAGCTTCGAGAACATGGACGATGTCGGAATCAACTTGGGTGACCCCAATGACTCGGGGTACCCTACCTCCCCAGAGGCCCCTGAGCAGAATCTGTTGACCCACCGCCTGAGTTCTCCTCACACTTCACCACACAGAGGACGACGGAGGTTTCAGTCAGGTCAGGAGGGGCTGACGCCGTCCTCTCCGCCGACACTGACCACGAAGGCCAACTCCAGCAGTTGCAGTCTAATCTCCAACCTCAAGCTCTTAATCAACAGCGACTCTCCCTCCGACAGCGTCTTCAGTAGGGTGCCCAAGGACTGCTTCGACAACGAAGATTTGTTAGAAAGGCACTGCGTGGAAGAAAAAGACGAGAAAGTCGTCATCAATATTTCAGGGCTGATGTTTGAGACACAGCTCAGCACTCTCAATAAATTTCCAGAGACTCTGCTCGGAGATCCCATGAAGAGAATCAACTACTTTGACCCCATGAGAAATGAATACTTTTTTGACCGAAACCGTCCATCCTTTGACGGAATTCTTTACTACTACCAGTCTGGGGGGAGGATCCGCAGACCAGCCAACGTTCCCTTAGATGTTTTTGCAAACGAAATTGTTTTCTATGAATTGGGTCATGAAGCAATGGAGCAATTCCGAGAAGATGAAGGTTTTATCAAAGAGCCTGATGTCCTTTTGCCCACCAACGAACTCCAGCGACAGTTCTGGCTCTTGTTTGAATACCCTGAAAGTTCTAGTGCGGCCAGAGCCGTAGCGCTGGTTTCTGTGTTTGTTATCGTCATTTCCATCTTCATCTTCTGCATCGAGACTTTGCCAGAGTTCCGAGATGATAGTGATTCCCCTGCAGGCTTGACTCAGATCATCAATGGCACCCAAGTCCCTCTTCCGGCAAAAGCCCCCAAAGACTTCATGACTTACCTGACTGACCCTTTCTTCATCGTGGAGACCATTTGCATTATTTGGTTCTGCTTTGAATTGGGGGTCCGGTTTGTGGTTTGTCCAAGCAAAAGTGACTTCTTCAATAACATCATGAACATCATTGACATTGTGTCCATCGTCCCCTACTTTGTAACCCTGGGGACAGAGCTGGCTACATCACCCGAAGACGACGTGAACGCGGGCCAGAATATGTCGTTAGCAATCCTGAGAATCATTCGATTGGTGCGAGTTTTCCGAATTTTCAAGCTCTCCCGGCACTCGAAGGGTCTCCAGATTCTGGGTCAGACCCTAAAAGCCAGTATGAGAGAACTGGGGCTGCTCATTTTCTTCCTTTTTATCGGAGTCATCTTATTCTCTAGTGCTATCTACTTTGCAGAGGTGGATGAGCCCCAAACACAGTTTGTCAGCATCCCGGACGGTTTCTGGTGGGCTGTGGTGACAATGACCACCGTGGGATATGGAGACATGTGCCCCATCACCATGGGGGGCAAAATGGTTGGCACCCTCTGTGCCATCGCTGGTGTCCTGACCATCGCTCTACCTGTCCCTGTCATCGTCTCCAACTTCAACTACTTCTACCACAGAGAGACTGAGCAGGAGGAGAAGCAGGTGATGGATGCTGCAGCCGAGGCTGCCCAGAAAACATCAGCGGCCAACATGAAGTACAGCAGCACGCCTTCTCTGAACAAGAGCAACGGGACCTGGCAGAACGAGAAGAACGGTGTCCACTGACAGAATATTATCACATCCCAACAGACCAATGAGACTGATGATGTCTGTTGATGACTTGACATTAGGCACAATTTTGAACTTGACAGATCAATGCACATTATTACAGTATTGACGGGAACTGTGTGCAGGGTTGGACGGCCTTCGTACCAGTTGTCTGTCTGCTTGTGGACGTGTCAAAGTGCAATTAACACAACTCTGCAACTACTATGTCAGTTACTAAGAGTATTAATTATTGTCCTCAGTCTAAGAAACATGTCTTCCTTGTAGGCCTATTACGGACAAATACCTGATCTTTAAAGTAGTATTAGTTGAAATCAAAACAGCGGGATACAAAAGAATTGGGGCGACCATGGGGTCAAAGTCAAACTATCGAGGTACAGTAGAGTACTATTGGGTTAAATACTGAGGTTCTCCGGTGTTATTGCAATATCCTGAACATGACTCTTAAACATTCTTGAATTACTGTTGTTCTGGAATAATCTGAACAGCTTCCTCAAGATCCCCCCGCCTTCATCACTGTCTGTAGGCTGTTATGCAGTTTTTAAGGTATCTTTATAAACGAGAATGAATATATAAAATATTAGGACAATTAATGCACACTAAGAAGAACTTACAAGGGTTTTTTTTTAATACAACGATACCACATTTTATCAATATTTATCAGCATCTACTTTAACACTGAATGATTTCCAAATACATGTACTGTAAAAGACCGTGTGTGAGAGGAGACAAGAAGGACATGGGCACATACATTGTCTCATCAGCAGATCTCCACAGTAGCCGTGAACGCTCAGCTCCGGCACCTCTCCACATGACGCGGCGAAACTATATCTCTGTCATTAATAATTGCCACGTTTGCACGTTCTCTCTTCTCATATATTTATACATATACATATATAATAGGTGTAAAGTGAAACCTGCACATTGACCCCAGGGAGTATATATATATATATATAGATTACTGTATAAATGCAGTAGTGGCTCCATTCATAAAAAGCACATTTTTAAATGACCCCAGGTTGTATTTTGTTGTTAGGAGTGATTTTTGCACTAAACTAAAACTAAAATATTTAGCCACTGATGCAGTCACCATCTGACAGGCTACTATAATGTGAAGTTACACTTTAAAACCATATCAACCATATAGTCATTGCACTGACGGTTCGTTTTCACCCAGTCATATCTCAAGCACCTTCAAAACTTCACGCCATCAGCAGTTGTCAGGGAACAAAAAAAAAAAACATATATTAGATATAGTATATTTAATACAGACAGGGAAGGAAAACAATATATTTTCCCAGATATATATACAGTATGTATGTATATGTGTGTAAATATATGTACATATATTTATTTATACATATATATGCACATAATCATATACAGTACATGTATAAATATTTTATATATGTATAGACATATAGACACACAAACACACATATACAGTACATATGCATATATATGTATATATATGTAGACGTGTATATATATTTTTTTCTAATCAGATTAATCACAAGGTAGCTGTGGATTGATCACAATGAATCATGATTAATCCAGACCAATCAACATCTCTGAGTATAACAAAAACTTTTTTTGCGTACATTCCTGGAACAGAAATACACACCCCTTTGACCTTTATAGATGTATTCGTACTGCATGGCATCACGTGCACTAACGCAAGGTTTAACTCTCAGTTATCGTAGTGTTCAAATCCTATAGTAATAATTATACTCACATGTATTAAGGAGAAGCCAATACTTAAGCTGGGTTTCTAATACATGACAACAAGTACCAGATGTTAATGACACACGAGTCAACACCTTACCCTGTATGCATGCCACAACCTCGATCATGACGATATATATACTGTAGGTACGTGAGATGAGTAGAAGTATAAGAGACACTGCTTGTACTGAAATGGCCTTGGATGTAGTCGCAGCTCAGTGAATGTCTGTAATGATCCCTTTGTTACGCAATAACGATGGCAGGAGGAAAGGAAAACAAAGAATCCACTCTGTGAATAATGAAATGCAATAAGGTGACATCAGAGAGGCCTGCAGATACTCAGCACTTTACTACCGTATGTTAGAAAAAAAAGCACTTATTGTTCAGGGACTCCTACTGTATGTGTCAAGAGTGTACAGCACACAGCGGCAGCGTCCGCTGCGTTTGATTGATCCTGTAATGAGTGCCTTTCATTAAACACTGTACCCTAACTGTGTGGCGCTCCCTGAGGACATTACTTTAATGCACTTTTCTTTTCAAACTGAATCGTGTGAGATAGGCAGGTTTTAGGCTGAGTCAAAACATTCTAAGACAAATTTTAAAAACAACAATGATTGATTTCTTTAAATATCGTTCTTCTTAATCATTCAGCAGGTATTTTTCCATTCCTCGTAGAATTTTAGAGGATTTAACACAAGCACAGCACCATCACAACCTGCTTCCTGGTCTGGTCTACGGACTGAAATCCAGTTCCTTTAAATGTTCCTTCGGTTTAAAAAAAATAAAAAAAATAAAAAATTCAGAGGAAGTTAGATTTAAAAAAAAAAAAATCAGTTGCAAAGTTTCATTCAATTCAACAAATTTATGTTTAGTTTTAAAAAAAATCTGATGTTTGCCCTTGTTTTATAACTGCTAATTTTTCATGAAATTTGACAAACAATGTATATTACATCTTGATGCCTGAGAGACTCAGTGTATTTAGTGATTCAAATAATGCTTCATTTCAAATAACAACATCTGCCTTAGAACTTTTTGACTCACAGAAAGTTTTTTAAGTAAAACACGAAGGAGGTCAAGATGATGTCCCAAAAACAAAAACCAGGAAAAAACAACAGAGGGGAAAACAAAGCTTGTTATTATTAATTTCAGTCTGGAGAAACATTAAACTCCTGACTCTGTGTCACAGTGTCTGTAACAACGGTGTGGATGGCAAACAGCAGGAGCCGACAGTTCTCACTGTGTCCTGAAACAAGGCTGTTATGACAAAGAAGAAGCAGCGCGATCGTCTTTCTAACGAGGGATCAGAAGACAGAGAAAAAAAAGGCTTCACCACAGTGTTTAAATGATTCTGTAATTTTTTATATAAATTAAAAAGCATATATGGAAATATATTGTTCTGTATACGATACACGACACAGGGCTGTCAGTTTGAAGAAGGAAAGCTGGAGAAAAACTAAACATTGTTTTGGAAATGGTCACTGGTGAGTAAAATAATTACGGCTTCATTTGTCAATCAGCCAATCAGAATCAGCCAAGTTTTATGTCTCTGTGTTGAGCTTTGTTAACAGCATTTTTTTTTTAAATGAAGTTCTCTCGAGTGCAATCGTCAAATTTTACAGCAAACTTGAATGGAAACCTGTTTAAATTACACTTATTACACAAGGTTTGGAAAACTGAAATAACATCTGAAGGAAGTGTATTTCTGTCCTTAGACAAGACAAAGAAGCAGGTTGTGAGCTGGTGTCAAAGGTCATCCTACAGAACTGAATGAAGAAGAGAGTAGACATGTTGGGAAGGGAAACTGTACCATAACATCTTATTATGACCAAAAACAACTGTAATTTCAAGAATACGTGGAATATTAATTTTATGGCTGTCAAACAATTACAAATAACCATTACAATGAATCATGATTGATTGTCACCCATCATAACTGTCTTAATGTCATGCTCTCAATGAGCCTGAAGTTGAGACCTCTATAAAAACATGCAGGGAGCTCAGATGATATTTCAAGCTTCAGTTTCCAGTTTCAGGGAAAGGAAAATGTTTTTCCAGCAGTGTGTGTAAATAACAATTACGCAACAGTACAACATTTTCATTGACATAACCAACATAGAATAAAAAAAATAAAAAATCCAACATATTATGTGTTAGTAGGGACTAAGGAATAAAATCCATGAACTTCTTTGTACAACCTTGCAGTTTATTCACAAACGCCTGCTCCATACTGTATTTCACTTAAACACGATGCTATTACCTTAAAAAAAAACACCAAATCTGATATGCATTCAATCATTTAGAGGATGAAGAGCGAGCTGCTCCACCTGATGTTGTACCATCCTGTACGGTCACACTGTCACTAAACACCCGACTCTCCACTGTGTTCCGTTTGCTGTGGTTCACTTTGTGTGCGTTTTACTTTTCATTTCAAGTGTCAGTTTCTGGGTGAGCTGCTCAAAGGTCTGTTAAACTAATCACTAGTTAATGGGCAGATCGCTGAGACGCCTCTCTGCCCCGATGATCACTGATCCCTGTGTGATACCCCAAAGACGGAGCCTGATAACATTTGGCGTTTACCAGACAGGTGCCTCCACAAGGTCAGCGTCAATGTGAGTGTGTCATCTATAATTCACTGTGTGTTCCATGAAGGGATCACCTCCATCCAGCCTCTGGATAAAGACTGAGCCCTGAGGAAATGAAGCAGCGTGACAGAGCAGACTGCAGCTCCCGTCTTAAAATAACATGACAGCCATTCTGCTTTTTAAGTTGGTGACAAACTGTGTTCAGGGGAACAACGGAGGCACAGAACCCAGCAGCTCAGACAGTAAGTCTCGCACCAGTGGATTGGGTTACTGTTCTGTCAGCAGACACATTATGAGCCAATCTCAGAGTTGCATCGACAGCAACCTCTGTGCACTGTAGTTCCCGTCCTGCAGAGGACGAAGACACTCGGAGCTGTGCGCCTCCTGCTTGAGCGGAATCACTCCAAAGTCTTCAGGCTCTGTCACTTTGGTGGCTGTGGCTTAGAGATCAGACTGGAGCATCAGACTGCTGCTGCTGCTGCTGCTGCTGCTGCTGCAGTGACCTTGTGGTTTCTTGCAAGCGCAGCAGCATTCGTGATTTTGGGAGGCAAAAGAATTCCCATGAGTAAAATATTGATTCCACTGAAATCGTGAGAATGCAGTAAAACCTGCATTTCCGATCTTTTATTAACTTTCATAAATCTTCCTCTGATTCTGGAAGACTTTTTAATCTGATCTATTGATGCCCTGATTTATTACTTCATCTTTTCAGCAGAAATCCTGCAGAGATTAGGCTAACACCCTGTTTATTTGGGACAAACAACCGAACAACCATTCACACTCATATTCACACCTATGGCCAATTTAAAGTGAAGGGATACTGAAATGTGCATCAGACCCAGATGTTAGAGCAGGAAAGGCCACAGCTGCCAGGAGCAGCAGGAAAAGAATTTACTGTGTATTTATGGGTGGATGATTTACAAGAAAGAAGAAGAACTGGTCATATCACTGCCACGTAGGACTGACCACAGACAGCCAGGAGGGTGGGGTGGGGGGGATTTCTGAGAAACACCCCAACCTTAAAGGCAGATCTTTTATTTACATAAAAAACATTTACAGTCTAACGTTTACATAATAATTATTTAATCAAATTCACTAGGTAATAAAAAAAAAGCAGAGAATCTTCATATTCCAATTGTTGAATGGTGGTTGGCCCCTGATCACCCTACAATTTCTGAGATTGACTCTATTCTCACAGGTGTGAGCTCTGTCTGCCTGAGTTCATCAGTGTCATCACCCTCACCTGTGTCCTGTGGTCACCTGTTCATTAGTCTCACTGCTGTCACCTGGTGCCCTGGGTATATATACCTCTCTCAGTGATTGTTGGGTTATTGTGGTTGGGCTGTGTGTTCATGGCTGTTGTGACAGGTCATTGGTCCTAGTTACTGCTTCATGTCTGCTTTGCTGTTGTTCCTGCCTGGTCCTGTTCCACTGAGTTTAAGTTGGACTGTTTTGAATCATCTTTCTACAACTGATCAGTGTCTCTAGTGCTGCATGTGGGTCCTGCCTGCTTCCCAGCATTACAATATGAAATAAAAGGATCACAATGGATGACATTCAAACAACCATTCACACTCGGATTCACACCAGTGGTCAATTCCGAGTGAACGATTAAACTGGTCCTGCATGTTTCTGGTCAGAAACTATAATAGTCTGTGAAAGACAGCAGGTATTGAACCAGTGATCCTCTGGCTGTGACTGTAGAGTGTGACCCTTTCACCATGTGGCCTGTGAATCTAATGAAATGGCTCATGTTGTGTACTGTAGTTAAAGACCGCAGTGGTCTCCTGTGTTCCACCTCGGACCTTTCCAAACTCCCACTTCCATTTATCGTTTGTTCAGTAATGGAGAACGGAGTCAGGAGAGGGTCAGCGATGACTCGTGCAGATAAAGTTTTTACGACAGCTAACGGCAAAGGTGAAGGTTTCACTGCAGTAGGTTAATGACGGGGCCTCGTGGAACGGAACGTGAGTCTCACATTTGTCCTGCTTAGCACCCATAAAAAATGAAGAAGGTGACCGAAACTATTAGCTGGGAACGGACGCCAGAAGACACACCACTATGAGCGGCTTCTGTACATGTGTAACTGCAGACACGTTCTCACGGTCACACAGGCCTGAGGTGACGTAGTGGTGAGTACAGCTGTCACACACTTGAGTTCTTTCTCTTCTTGCAATCATATACATACATACATACATATATATATATATATATATAAACAATTGAGTGGTGTTCCATTGCTGATCAAATGAAGAGCAGATAAAAAAAAGGTTTTAAAGAGGTTTTTGACATTAGATACGACATTTGGTTACGTGTAACACATTTGCATATGTTCTGTTATTGTTCTGTTATTACAGTAAGACTGTGGGAAACAGGAAGTCTTTTTAAAGAAACAAAACCGAAGTTTTTAATGTTTAGTGTGACGTCGTGTGGTCGTATGTGGTACTACACTTTTACAAATATGGCCTGATTTATAATAATTGTGAAAAAAATCTTTTTTATCCTACCAAACATTTTACTTCAGACTTACTGAAAATACTACAGATGTTTTTATAAAAAGTATGAGTTAAAAAGGCTTTAATAAAACAACCATCTGGTCTACCTCAGTGATATAAAGACAACTGACCATAACTGATTTTTTTTAATGTTTTATTTTATATTTTCTGTAGCATATTTTATCTGTTAACTCTGGTTTAAATCTATTGTGTCCAATTATAATAAATGAAGGAATGGGGAAAAAAATTAGGATAACCACTTAATGACAGTTCAACCAATGAGTAAACCAAAACCTCAAGCAGTTCTAAGGAAGTCACTCAGTCAATATCTCTTCCTCCTCCAGACAAAAACACAATAAAACTGCTTTCAGTTACAGAGAAGGTTTTCCAACAAACAGGTCAGATTAGAGATTACTCACAGTCATGTGGACTGTAAGTGGAAACTTTACTGGGGGTCATAACTACAGTACTGTAACTACAGTAACTCTTATCATCACCCAGATCCCTGCTCTAACTCCAATCTGACCCCGATTCTAATCCCTACACCAAACTACAAACTTAATTTTAAAATGTCCTCTCACTCCCATGAAAGTGTAATTTTCAAAACATGTTCCAAAAAAGTAAAGCTATAAAGATGTCACACACACACATACACAGAGACAGAGAGAAGCAGTGTGAAATAACATCATTGTTAAGCAGTTTGTGGTTAATGATCAACAATGATCAAAAAAACCCAATCATTGCAGAATAGAAATAATTTGTAACTCTGTCAAACAACACAAATCATTTAATGTAATTTCTTTAATGTAATTTCTTGAATAGAAATATAAAACTATTGGTTTGTGTCATGAGGGCATCTGATTTAAAAACTCTGAGGAGTCACTTCTGAGACTTGGTCACATGGTAGTGCAGTGGTTTCTGCTAATATCTTACAGAAAGATCAGTGGTTCGATCCCAGTGGTAGCTGATTGTCTTGTTGTACGACTTATTCTCATGTATTCAACACACTGGAGAAATTGACACGATCCAACAACAACAACAAAAAAACCTATAACAATTAAAGGTGACCATGTGATCAAAAGATCAAGATGAAGACCCTGGAATGAAGAAACACAAGTAAAATAGAAACTACAAACACAGGGCAGCAAACCTGTTGACTAACACAGTGGATGGACGCAGTCCTACCATGAGCCCACTGCCAGCACTGTTGTTTTTTTGTTTTTTTTTTTGACTGCTCACACTAGAATAATTGTGAAGTACTTAAAGGAAGTGTCCACCTCATCTTTGCTGCGATCACAGCTACTTTTACTTCCTGTTTGTTCATTCGAGGGGGAAAACACAGCAGTCTACGTTGGCTGGAAGTGTTTCTCTGTCCCCTTTTCTCAAGACACGCAATCTGTGTGCGTCTACAGGTGAGGGAGGAGGAACAGCAGGGGAGGGACTGGGTGAGGACGTGTCCAAACATGGTATGAGAGCTCTGAGGCAGGTATGTGGATCCTACTTTCATTTAAGACAGACCTGCAGACGGTCGGACACATTCAATAACTGCTACAGCTGAACTGGAGAGGAACACCTGACGCCTGGTGTAGGTGAGTTCAAACAAATTATCATTCAAAAAACAAAGACATTAAAATGTTCAATTTTCTTCTAACAACTAAACTGTCATTCTGTGTCTGAGTCCCAGCTGTGAAACCACAGTTGTTTTTCTAAAGGTTGTTTGAACGTTGGGTGTGTGACACATGTAAGTGTGAGGTTGGACTTTGAATCATTAACGCCTCCAACATCATATTAGACAAGTCTCAGACTAGCGTAGGATGAAAGTGAAACAGTTTAAGGTTTTTATCTCAATTGTGAAACTCACTTCCATTTGGCTGTTGTTTTACTTGGTACATGACAGTAAAAAGACATCATGTAGTAAAATACTCTGGGTTCTAGTCTCGACACAGTACACAGTACATGTACTGAATTGTTTTAAATTATTTTCCCTTTTTATAGTTTGGCCTTGTGCTATTGTCATAAACAGGTCAGTACATGAACACATGATGTGCTGTGCATGATGTGAGATTTGACTGAAATTATTTTATATTTATCAGCAAATATAAATAAACAAGATGACAGATGCTTTAAGAACGGAACACGGTCTCAGTGTGAAATGTTGCTTTATTTGACCTGCATTCAAATGTTTTTAGTAAATGTGCATGTGCGGCAGGTCTTTTTTACATGGACTGTGGATCAGTGTGGTTTACCCTGCTTTTACAAACATTTGGGTTTTAATGAAAAGAGTGGAAATTTTATTATTCTAGAGTCATGAGGACGCCAAAAAACAGTTTATTGTGGGGCTAGTCTTTGTCAACAAAACTTGTCTAGTCTGTTGAACCTACCATACACCAGGGGAGCAGTGTGTGGGGACTCAAACCTGAAACCTTCTGGACCCAAGCTTCCTTAACCACTAAGCCACCACTGCCCCCATGTGAATGATGTTTCCATTTTTTAAAATACATGTTATATTGCAGAAAGATATATTTTGGACAATCTGAGGAAGATATGGAGCTGTGAAAGATCTTAAAAATTAGTTAGTTTGGTCCACCATAATGGTTAGTGGCTAGTTCTATGGTTCCCAAAGTGGGGAGCAGGGCCCCCTAAAGAGCTTGAACCATTGTCGGGGGACCACAGCAAGTCAAATGAATTTCCTTTTCCCAAAATTTTCTTTAATTGTGCCACAGTAGGAAGATTTGCCCTGAATTGTTATGTAGTTTCCTTTGCCTGACAAGAGCAGCACTCTGTGGGAATTACAGTGTCTTAAACAAAGCTGAGTGGAGTCTTAAAATGTTTGGAAAACACTGACCTGTGTGCTTCTATTTTTGTAGCCAATTCACCATGGACCTGCAGCCGAACGATCAAAGATTAAATCCCAGCCAGGTAATTTTTGTGCCACACAAGGACACCGTCCGTCTCCTGGAGGTTTACGTCAAGCGCAGCCTCAGTGTAAACGATGGCAGCGTAGAAGAAAGGAGGTACAGGAAAAAAGAAAAGTGGGTGACAAAAAAACAACGGAGACATTCCAGTGACCCCTCCCTTCCCCTGTTGGAGGGATTAAAGGACATTGACAAGGGTTTGTTTTCTGCTGTTGAACCTTCCACAAATGAACTTGAAACGTTTCCTGAAGAACCTAAGAAAGAGACCAGGAAGAGTAAGAAGAACAAGAAGCCCTCGTTTTGGAAAAGCATAGTAGGTTTCTTCTCTTGGAAGAGCGCCGAGGAAGGGGATGAGAAGCAGGATGGTCCTTCAGAAACGTCCAAGGATTTACCTACAGAGGTGACCTCTGAAGATGTGATCACCTGCATGCCCTCACCTCCAGCCAGCGCACAGAAGAAGGTCAAGAGGAGAAGGTCTTTAAAGAGAAGGTTCTCCAAAAAGCGACTGTCTTTGATAAAACCAAACAAACCTGACAAAGATGGCCACCATGTTGACATCGGTGGATTTGAAGGTACCCTTGGGAATTCAACTCCAAACCCATGCCTTCACATTATCTACAATAACAGCTGAACTCCTCTTACTAACTTAATGTACTAATAGTGTCAAATAATGTCTCTTTGCAGCTGTTGTGAGTGTGGAACCAACATACTCCTACTATGAGAAGGTGTCGGAGGAAATGGAAAAGATTGTCCACGAGGTCCAAGAGAAAGAGGAAAGTCAGCACCTTTCAGATGGTGAGAAGCCGGTTCTCGTAACTCACATTAGCCACATTCCAAATGTTGAGTCATCATAGTTAGGTAATCATGGAGTTCATTAGAAAAACAACAGCAATATGAATCATAACCATTAAGGAAATTCTGGAATCACAACTTGGTCCTTAACATAGTGGAATTTTTGTCTCTCTCTCAGAGGATGTCATCAACAAACTCATCACTTTGCTACGGGAGGAAGGAGATGCTATAGATGAAAAGGTCAGAAATGTAATCTGAACAATCACTGGGTAGCTGTGGATTATTCACAATTAATTGTGATTAATTACAATAATGATTAATCATGAGTCGGTGAAATATTCGTGCACACATATATATATATGAATAGAAATGGTATTGAAAGACCGTACGACTTTTTCAGAAATACATTTTAATGTAATCCCTTTAAATAACTTAAACCTTTTTCTTGTTGCTAAAACACTGTCTCCTGAAACCACTCACCTGACACATTTACAATGCTGTACTTGACATGGTACACCAAGAAATGAGCCTGATTGTGCGTTTCTCCATTCTGGCTGACCATAATCTAGTGTGATAAGGCTTTAATGGCTTCCCTGGTCAAAGTTCAGTTTTGGTAATTAATGACATCACTCTTGTGTTTACCTCTTGCAGCTGAAACAAAATTTTACCTTGGGAAACATCTTCCAGGGCCTGACGTATTCGTCCTTCCAGAAACTGGCTGATGCCTATCTGCAGGAAGAAGTGTCTCCGTCCAACACTCCTCTCACTGTGCTACCAACCGCACCAGAACTGGTCAAACTGGCCTTCACATTGGACTTCACTGCCAGGATCGCTGCTCTGTCCAGACACAACATAAGTCACATCACAAGTTTGGGCAACCGCTACCTGCTGGACCGCTTTGAATATAAACAGGTGAGACTCAAAATCAGGTGTGAGGACCAAATAAATACACTTTTACTTCAAATGTCTCTGCTCTTAGTTTTGGCTAGAATTAAGTTAACAACATTTAAAACAGCTTACATTATGTTCATTATGTATCACATTAGTAAACAGAGGAGAACTGGTGACTTTCTATCTGATCCTCCCTCCTTACAGGCCTGCACAGATAATCCACTGTCCGACTGAGATGATGCAGGACCATAACCACTCCTCAGCTTCTTCCACAATTGTGAGCTTGCGTGCATTTTGCCCACACTAACATTGTTCCTCAGAAATGCTGTCTAACCCCCCCCCCCCATGTTAATTATAAGTCCTCACATGTAAACAGCCTTTTTCATTCAAAAACTTCTGAATCAACCCAAGATGCCAACATATGTGATGTTTGTGTTACTTGATGAACATGTTTATAAGCTACATTATCTTGTGCCGTATGATTCTGTAAATATCTTTGATTATCAGAATATATTATCAGAAACTAATACTGTGATGTGTGCGGTTTCTGTTCATATGGATGCTGGCGTTCATATGAAATAACCAATAATGTGCAGTGAAACTATGCATGTGGAAAAATAAAGTTTTCTAGAGAATGTGCAAGAGAATGAAGTGAGCTGTGTTCAGTAGCTGCAGGCAAACACCTGGTTCAGGCCTTTAGAGAATAGGGTGGTCTCCTTGGAATGGTAGTGTGGTTGGTGAGGTGTTCTGTAAAATGTGTCTTACACAATTAGTTTGGAACTTGAGTTTGGGACTTTTGTTGTATTTGATGTTTTCTTTTTTCCTATTTTCAATCTAGGCTCTAGTAGAAGTATACCACTAGAAAATTAAAGTCACTTCACTCAAGTACAACACACTGTTTTTATGTCGACTTGTGAGAAGCTGGTCATCTTAGATGAATTTTCTGCTCCTCCCTCTTTATTTATTCCATATACAGCATAACAAAAATATTTATACCATACCAGCCTTTTATACTGATAACAACATGCCCATGTTAGACTATCAGCACAGAGATAAAATGTTAAAAGGGTGTGCTTTAGGTTTGCCCTAAAATGGTAACATGACGCCTTGTGTTTGTCACCTGTGGAACTGGTTTCCCAGTGAGCTGGAGATCTGCCTAACAAAACAGTGACTGGGTCCACCTTTAACATGGTGACACAGATAATGGGCCCATGTGGGACATAGGTGCAGTGCAGTGCTATGCAACGCATGCACACATACAGGTATATTGTACACCAGAGGAGGGAGATGGAGGCAGCAGCACTTAAACCCCTAACCTGGGCTGTTTTTGACTTGAAATGTGATATTCTATGTTTGTGCTGTTTTCCACTGGTAAAGTTGACATGTCAGCTGAGACGTGCAGGGAAGCAGGTAGTGGAAAGAAAAACATTTGGTTTGAATTACTTCAGCTTTGTCAAGTGCAGTGACTAAATGTGTCATTGCTCAAATCAAAAGAGAAATGTAATGGACTTGATTGTTTTTGATTAATGGATCTCAATAAAGTGTACAGTCATACTTCAAGCACTGGTGTTGCCACATAGTGTAGCAGGGAAAACAGATTAGTCATAGTTCTGGTCACACATGTTGAGCAAGGCAGCTTTTCCTCAAAAGATCAATTGTTGGGACTCAACCCACACGGGTGACAACATTATTGGCAGTCTTACAGTTTGTTTTTTTTTCTTTTGCTTTAACAGATTGTGTTAAAGCAAGGTAACATGTTTGATTAAGTTAAAGAATAATGCAATTTTACTTAAGAAAAAGAGATTTGGAAAAGTAATGATAACTAGGAGCAGCAGCGGGAATAAGATAACACAAAAATGAATAGGATCAGTGTTTTTTTTGTCATGACCAAAACCATTTACTTCAGTACTTTGTCATGGGTATACTGTACCCTAGTCTGCACTGTATATATACACATACAGGTGCACACACAAATATAGAAATATGTATATAAGCAATATTGTATTGGTGGAATGTTTTCAGTTCTACAACTGACACCAGTTGATATGACTTCCTCATTTGAACTTCTGTACTCCACACACACCACACACAGGCTGGGTGGACACTCAGGGTCAGGGTTATTTTTAGAACACCACAAAACAGCTTAAACCATCCGAGCACTTCCATGTTTGAGCTGCCTATTGCACCAGTGATATAAAAAGGCTTACCAATTATATCAAGTTATATTAAGTGGAAAAAAATGACAATAGACTGATATGTGTAAACCTTTTACATTTTTATTGCTTTTTCAACCCAGAGAAGGCAGATTAGTCAAAGAGACCAAAGCCCATGTCTTCGTCTGACTCTTCGGACTCTTCTTTCTTCTCTTCTTTTTTCTCTTCCGCTGGAAGAAGAACAAATAAAACGATGTAAATACTAAGAAACCATGAAAGAATCTTGTTCCAAAACTGAAACTTTAAGCCAATGACACGACACACACACTTGATTACTTTACAACTAAAAAGAAGAGGTTTAGTTTACTGTCACAAATAAAATATACATTTAAAATTCCCTAAAATCTAAAGGTACACCGATAAAATTTTTTTGGCCAAATTCAGTGTCTGTAAAAGAGCAGAGAGAAGAGATGAGAAAGGCAATAGTAAAGCTGGGATTAAAAAGTTCAGAGTGAGTTGTTGGCATCTGTAAAAAGCAAAATAAAGTTCTTAAAACGCACTGGTCAGTGTACCTCTAAATAAGTTAACTTAAATTTGCTAAGTGGGCTACATCTGTACAAAGAATTAAAAGATTAACGTACCAGCAGCAGGTGGAGCCCCAGCTCCAGCTGCAGCTGCCCCAGCTGCAGCAGCAGGAGCCGCAACAGCACCACCAGCTGGTACAGAGGCTAACTTGGAGAGGCCTGTGGACGGAACAAAGCAAAAATAATTCTGGCTTCACTGTTCACAAAAGACATGTTCTTGTCTGTGTGCAAGTTCAGTCGGGAAATTAACCTGAGTTCATGACTTCATTGATGTCTTTTCCATTCAGTTCATTAATGACCTGCAGAGAAGAAAACCCACCATAAACAACTCTGATCAACATTGTTAAAAATATTTGTACTTTTCAATAGACATTTCTTCTAGCCTTGTTTAGGCGATCATCTTCGGCCTCAATTCCTACGCTGCCTAGGATGGTCTTGATGTCTTTTGCAGAGGGTTTGGTGTTTCCACCAAGCACAGCCAGGAGGTAAGCGGCCACGTAACGCATTCTGATGGAGAAGGAAACAGGCTCTAAAATTTAATAAATGCACAATAGGAAAAACAAGGACTAAACAGAGAAAGGATTAGTTGCAGAACATAACATAAAAAGTGTAGAAAACAAATAGGATACTTTGCAGTGAAAAGACAATGATTTATAATACATAACATTATCGTGGAAAATGCCTACAAAAGCTATTTTCTGAGAACATGGAAAGATTCAATGACATGTATATACCCCAAGAAAATAATGTTTTCATTCCATCCATTTACAGTAGACACAAAAACATTAACATGTTATATATTTATTGAACCAAATAGTAGAATAATGAACAAACATGTACGGTGCAATTTGTATGACAGTTTAGTATTTAATAATAGTTATGTCAGGTATAATAGCATAGAAGTCACAAACACAAACCTTATATTAAATTTAATCTGTAATTGCGCAAACCGAAAGCCACCGCTAGAGGCTGATATTTCCATATGCAGTATTTATAATATTAAAAATTATTCCAAAAATATAACCTTTAAAACATTGTACCTTAATAGTTATGAGTTACTAAGTTGAAGTTTTGTATTTTGTGTTTGGATATACACGTGGGAATGTGTTATTACCGTAAATGTGTCATAAGGATCTGAACAATGCTAACGCTAGCTTTGCTGTGGATTCAGGGCGATGCTTGCGCTTGAGTCACGCTGTTTACACACGCTATTGTTAGAATCAAAGAGTTTATTTTATAATGAATATCCGTATTAAAACACGTATCGTTTACCGTGGTTATTGCATAGCTAACAGCGACACACTATGGACACACTTCACAGAAGCAGCATGGCGCCCGCTGTTTTTCTGCCTGTCCTCCATTAACAGCGGTGCTTTACTTTAACTGCGTCACATATATTCAACGCCAAAATCGGTAATTTAATAGTTTAGGTATTTAAGCACAACATACTATTAAGGGTCTGACATTTATATGAATGAAGAGGTAAAAGCTTTGACTTACTTTAAGTCTCGAAAGACACGAAACGTCGGTCACGCCAGGAAATTCGGAAGAAGGAAGAGAAGGTAGAAGAGAACCGAGAGCAACGGAATGCTTCGATCTCATTGGTCCATCCAGATGACAGTCCACATGTCATCATCGTGTTCAAGACGTTCATGTAAGTAATGGGCGAAAACTAACGTTCACATTTCTTTAAAAATAAATTGACTTTATATTAAAGCAACATTACCTTGGTAATATTGTCAATTAAATTTACATTTTCAAGAGATATTTAAATGAACGTTGTAAAAGGTTATTTTGTATATAAAAATGTAAGTATGACGATGTATACCTCGACCCCTTTTTTTGTACATTTCTTTATCTGTAGCTCTATCTGACCTTCTAAGATTTGTGATCTAATATCTATCTAATATCTAATATATATAATAACCACCTAATTAAATAAATTATTTGAGCCAAATTTGAAGTTTGAAACATTTAACTATATAAAATGAAATAGTGTAAAAACAGAGTAAGACAGAATTAATAAAACAATGCAAATTAGAATTTTCCACTTGCTCAGGTTGGTAAATTCTGTGCAAATCATACACACAGTGACGCAACCCAGAACCACTACACATACATTATTTATTTCCATGGTTCATCATCAAAAATAACGTCACTGAATTATTTATACATGATGGTATGTTCACTTATGATGTGGGTATAAATGGATTCCTTTCTTAACATCTGTAATAACACATGCTACTAAAACAGTAAGACAAGAATTATTTATCGCACAAAGAGACCAGACGTTTGTCAGTCGCTCCACTGGATTATGAAGCTACAGTTCCATCAGCTCCTCTTGCCTCTCCTGTGTGAAGAGCCATGTGAACAGCCAGACCAGAGAATCTGACACAGACTCTGCAATTTTCCTCACATTTGTCACATACCACATTTTATACCAAAACTCCCCCAGCAGCATAATTCCAAAAATGATCAACACTCCGAGGAAGATGCGGTCCACATAATAGTTTGCCCTTTCTCTGGATGTCCACTGCTCCCAGGGGAGAGCACGCCGGGCTTCAGTGTAGGCACTAAAGTGAAGCAAAGCTTGCTCACCATCGCTCAGATGGTCTCCTGGGTCCTCCAGATCCTGGACGCCTTCTGCTCTCTCACTTTCAGTCATTTTACACTGGTGTGGTGCTGGAAATCAGAGTGCTTTTAGTCCTCCTTACAAAGGTATTTAAATAGACACACTTCCATTGGAGGGCTGTTGTAGAACATCAAAACGTTCTGCAGCTGTGGTAGGATGAATATGAACATTCTTACCTGTCAGAGGTCTAGATTAACAACAATGGAGACTCTAGGATTTTTAATTCATATTAATTCTTCTTTAGTGCTCAGCGAGCCACTTGCCACACGTGTGGCTGCGGATGCCAAAATGTTTGTGTGTGGCACCTACCTCACTAAGGCGAGGGCTGAGGATTAGAACACACTCAGCAGTTTCAAATCCCTCCAACAAGATGAAGGTGACAGATGGCAAAATGTGTTCATGAGTAGTAGACGAAGGGAGAGAAAGGGAGGGTGGAGGTTCTACTGTATATGTTCATGCAGAATTTAAGGTTAAGTACAGTACAGTATCTCTTTGGAGCTTTGTTAATATGCAGTACAAATATCTAGACATCAAATCACGTTCAACAACAGAAAAAAGCAATTGATTCTATACCAGGGTGCAGACAGAACTGAAAGTGTGGACAAAGCTGAGGCAGAGGCTTAATCACATCAACACTTTGCTCTGTAGGTAATTTACTCAAAAGCTTCAGATCCTTTTTAACACCCAGCAGTATCTGCTGAAATAATTGAATTATAGCTAAAGAGGTGCCAGTATCCTGAGGATCTGACATCACTGCGGTTGCTTTATTTGGTTCAGTGACTTCACTGGTTCCAGTAAGAACCCTTTCCACTTCTTTATATTGAAATTTTATTGTTAAACATAAAAACAATGAACACCACATTGATTTGTTTCCTGTATGTTTTCACTTTCATACTCTGATGGGTTTTTTCTTCTTCCTGCAAACCATTACTCCAACACCATTACTTCTTCTAAATGTAAACATTACATATGATAACAATAACATTATTTTACAATCTATTAATTGTTAAGGTTTTCTCTACATTTGATGGTGTGCTGCTAATTGATTTGTATTGTATTGTCTGTACTTGTATTTTTGTGTTATTCCTGTGACTATCTATCTATCTATCTATCTATCTATCTATCTATCTATCTATCTATCTATCTATCTATCTATCTATCTATCTATCTATCTATCTATTTCTACACCTATTTTTAGCCTCATGACAATTGGTCAAACATTTCATCACCACGTGTCATCGAAACGTCAGGAATGGACTGACACGGTTTAGCCCTGGCAGACAATTAACCCTGAGGTTGGCCACACTCTTGTTAATGAACAAAACCTACTCTTACTTTGTAACCTGAAATAAATACTGTACATACAGTATAATATATTGGTTTTTATGATCTTTTTTTATGAAAAGGATGATGTAATTCAATATGAATCGATCAAAAGTACACAGTGCAGGATTTAGCAATATTTGTCATCTTTGGTCAAAATGTTAAAATGTAGTGATCCAACATGGCAGAGAGAAAAAACACCATTTAATTCCATGGACCGTACAGTCATTCTATATGGGACCATAGTGTAGTGTTTTAATTTTGTTAGTGTTTTCTAATTTCTTCCATCTTTTGCAAGTAATCAGGAAATCTTGGAAAAGCAACGCTGAGGATGAAGAATCAAAATTTGAAGAAGAAGAAAAATTAGCAGTAATGCTGCAGTTTATAATACTGTTCATATATTGCTATCTTGCTATCTAGTGTTTTTAGTGCGGAGTGGCAAATCTGTGAAGTCAGTGTAATTGTTGCTTCAAGTTGTTTTTTGATGAATAGAGAGCCTGAAATTAGCAATGTATTGATTTTATATCAGGCTGGAATTTCCAATTAACATTGAGGGCAAATGCCAACAGAAATAAATCTTTTCTACTTTTAAACATCCCCCTTCTCTGTCAGGGCCGGCATTCTGCTGGGACATGGGGTGGGCTCCGTTGATTTACATAACATGCAGCGGCGGAGGATCTGCACCAGTGTGACCTGGAAACGTTCTATCCTGAAGGCATAAACCATGGGGTTCATGGCTGAGTTCACGTGGGACATGAAAATGCCAACATACATCGCAAACTTGGGTATGCGACACTGAGGGCAGAAGAAGTTGATGCAGTTCATGATATGTATTGGCAGCCAACACAAAGCAAAGAGTAAGACAACCAGGGCCAGTGATTTGGCCAGTTTCAGCTCCTTGCGATAGTATCTGTCTCCATCGCACGTGGCCTCGGCGCGTTTGTTCAGCTGCCTCCGGATCACCCTGAAGATCTCTGCATACAGAGCAATCATGATGGTCAGTGGTACCACCACCCAGCCAAAAAAGTTGAAGTAGACCATGTAGTCCATCCTGATGACAGCAGTGAACTCACACACGATTTCACTGGAAGTGCTGAAGTTTCCCTGGATGTCACGGTTATTCCATCCAATCATTGGAACCAACCCGGAGAGAACGGACAGGATCCAGCATAGACAGACTGCCACATAGGCCCTGCCCTGGGTCACTATGATGCTGTACCTGAACACGCATTGAAATAAACAATGGTCAAAAGGCAATACTGTAATGGTTTTCTCAGAACCAGCACCGGTCGTAGATTCCAACTTCCTCCAGCTTCTCTCATCAGATTCCAACCCATAAAATACAAAGGGTGGACACATGCCAGACATCTGTGCCATGTCAGGTATTCAGGCACAACGTTTTAATTTACCTAAAAGCTTCTAGTGTGTTGTCCATTGATTTGCATTAAATGAGCCTCAATATATTGCATCATGTCAGACATTGACACAGCCTTAGAACTTATTTGGTACAGAAGCTCAGTCTGATGCAGCGTCACTAAGTAGAGTCAGATCCTCGGCATTTGACTGTCGTACTGGATCATTTTCTTTTTTTTGTTGTTATCACTTTGTCACATCTGAGACAGTGTAAATATTGATTTTTGGAGAAAATGTCTTTGCGTGGAAACAAAGTAATTGAATTAGTGTCCTTTGAGTAGGGTAAAAATGTGTGTTCGTTCATCTTTATCTGTGACATTACACAGTTGCCCCAGTAGAAACTAAATGGTTTTATTGTTAGAAAACGGAAGAATAATAATGGAGTTTTAAAGACAAATCTGCTTCTTGATATATACATACATATACACAAAACATATTTAGAATGTTTATAATATTTTTGGGACAAATTGACCTTTTTTCTGTTCAGGTCTTTTAAGGGTATTTTAAAACCACTGAAACACTTACTCTACTAAAGATAAAGTCCCAAAAAAAGAAACAATTTAGTTAATCTAAAAGTTTACTCTTCATGTTGGCATGAAAGTAAAGGTGAGTCTGCATTTTTTAAATGACACTTCATTTTACACTCTAGTGACAGTGTCCACTACTTCTTTAACAGTGCTTCAGTCATTGATCAATACACTTTAATTATATTGACAGAAACTCGACTAGTATTGACCATAAAATACTCATAGGTTACGATTACAGACAGCATGGTAAATATCTTAGTTATTATCATAGTGTTTTTAGCATGGTAAATATCTTAGTTATTATCAGTGTTTTTTTTGTTTTTTTTTAACGTCTTACTTTGTGGGAATCTTCACTCTGAGGTACCGGTCAATGGCGATGGCCAGCAGAGACAGGATGGAGCTCTGGGTGATGATGAGCAGGAGGCAGGAGAGGAAGAGGCAGGTGTAAAATTCCGTGCTAAATCCAAGGCTGATGATAATAGCCAGAGGGATGACCAGGACGCCTACGGCGATGTCAGCCACGGCCAGTGACACGATGAAGCAGAAGGTGGTGTTACGGAGAGCACGGTTGACACACACCACCAGCACCACCAGCACATTCCCCAGCACTGAGGCCAGGGCAACAGCTGTCTCAATGGAGATGTACAGCAAGTCCACATGCTCCTGAGACTTGATTCCCGGAGAGGACGACATCTTCACTCCTCCTGGCAAGTTTCACTTACCTTTATTCATACTGTAGAAAAATTCAGTGTTATGTGGAAACTTCTTGTCTCCACACTGGCTCGTGCCTCTGCTCAGAGAAAGTCTCCATGGATACGATGATGGTGAATCCTTCCTACTTCATGTTCACAGTTAGTGGCACTTCAGCTGGTAGGATGATGCTGTGGGATCAATTTCCCATATGAGCTCTGCAGAAAACTGTACTAGTGCATCATTCCTCCTCCTTCACTCTCTCTCTCTCTCTCTCTCTCTTGCTCTCTCTATCTCCATTTCTATCTCATACTAGAAGGACTCATAAAATCAAGGGGAGGGACTTTGCCTTTTGCAGCAGCATGCAGCAGGACTGCTGTTTGGGCGACTGGATTTTTTTTTCTAAGTGTGCCAACATTACGGAGGTGTAGTAGTAAAAATATTTTAGTATCTTGCTTACAAATCAAAGTTTTAGTATTGGCTGCTCCTGTTATTTCCATAAATAATAATAAAAAAAATAAAAAATAATAATAAATATGTAATCAAAAAACCAGAAGTAAGTAAATGTAAATGATTGTATTACTTTTATATATATTAAGGCTGGCAAAAGATTAGATATTTTAAATTGATTAAAACATTGTGATTGTAAAGAATAGTGATATATATTTACATATATATGAAATTCACCCTCTCTCTCTCTCTCTCTCTCTCTATTTATACAAATATATAGATAGAGAGAGATAGATAAATAAGTGATAAATAGATAAATGTATTTATATTTATATGTATGTGAAAATATATGTGTGTGTGTGTGTCAAAATAGTCTTAAATGATTAAAACAGAAAATATACAAGAGAAGACTAAAGAAATGACACAGTACTGTGGGGAGACAGTGTTTGATTGACAGCTGTACTGGCCAATACTGTCACTTGTAACACGTCTTTTAAAACATTGGCTCATGATTTACAAAACATTAGGAACCTTTGGTATCAAATCAGGAACTTCTTAATTCTACTGCTGCCGAGCTTTAGCAACTATCAATAAATAACTGTAAATGTATGCCTAACTTGCTGTTTAAAGCACATCCTACAAAGTTTATCTCTATATCTTGGAATCATTTCCTGCTTGTCTGAAATCTAGATTGTGTTTGTTTGCAGTTTTTAACCGCAGGCTGGTCTAAAATGTGCACTTACTGTAGAAAAGCCTTGATTTAATTGACCATCTGAGAATGAAAAGACATTGGCAGTGAGTTTCACCGACAAAGCAATCACTGAAATGGTCTGTGTCTGCTTAAGGAAGCATATTCAGTAACACCAATGAATAAATTCAGTCTGGTCACTGGACCTCTCTGAAGAACACATTGACTCGCGATGACGTTCCAGGATGGTGTCCTCACACGGTGTAGTCTCAGACTGTGGTGTTGTCATATGTTGGGTTGTCAGTCCCAGCCTCTGACTCACTGCTGAGTTCATCCGGTCAGTCAGTGTCAGCTCTGATTCATTACTCAGGTCAACAGTTATGACGAGGCGACTGAGCTGTTCCACAGTGGCAGTTGGCCGTCACGTGACACAGAACATACAGTACATGGCTGTGGTCAGTGATTGAATGATGATTGAACTATAAAGAATTTAATTATGGTCTTGCAGGAATCCGCTCACACTTCTGTTACTGGTTCAAATGAAGAACATTTGTGCGGCTAATATTTTTCTGCTGCCGTTGTCTTTCTAACACTCCTTAACGACGTGATGTATGTAGTGATGTATGACACTCACTGAATATCCACTGTTTCCACCATTTATCAGTACTCTAATTACTATAATTATTGATATAGGTGTTGAAGTTTGCACCAAGTGTGAGAAATAATTTCACCAAAGCACCTCAGGCTCCAAATAATTTGGGTCAGATGGCTGTCTTGCTTAAGACCAGCCTCATGAAGCACAGGGCTACTATGTGTGAGATCCCCTCCCCCCTGTCTCACCTGTGTCCTGTTGTCCCTGGTTGATTAGTCTCACTGGTGTCACCTGGTGCCCTGGGTATATATGTCTCTATTCCTCATCCAGTGTCTGTGCTTCGTGTCTATGCATAGCGTTTTGCTCCTCTGTGTTCCTGTTTGTTCCTGCCTGCTCCTTGAATCCAGTAAGTGGATATTTTTTTAATTGTTTGGACATTGAATAACCTTTCTGAATCTAAGAATTGTTTGCTCTAGTGCTGCCCTTGGGTTCCACCTGTTTCCTGACACCAGCTCAAAATGTATGTCACTGTATGTCTGACAAGCTGACTGAGTTTGAATGGCTGTCTGTGACTGTATATGCCCTTTGATGGACTGGTAATCTGGGTGTAAACGGGCTCTCCCAATGTTGGTATTAGCATCAGCCCTACAGTATAAGGACCCTGAAGAATTTTTCCCGTTGTGGGATCATTAAAATTAAGTCTAATCTAATATAAAATTATGTTTTTTTTTCTTCTTTTTTGTGTCTGATAAAGAAAGCCAGACGTACAACATGCTATAGGTATCTGTCTATGATTTTCATGTTGCACCTACAACTTTTATTCTTACCACAGCTCTACATATGACTTGTATTAGTCTCAAGTTTTACTTAAAAACCTCAAACACAGCCCGAAACAAAAGTCTAAATTTTATGAGCAGAGCATTGGCAGGAAGACGGTCTCTGGTTTTGGCATTGTTTATTCTTCTGGCTCTTACTCAACATAATGAACGGCACTGCTTACTTAAGCTCACTGTACCTGAGTCAGCGTTCAGTGATGGTGTCCTGCTAACTCAGCTGTACACACAGTGGTATACAGTATGTGGTGCAGTGGTATCATTAGTGAAAGTATTTAACAATCAGGAGATGAGCGTAACAGATGATGTGGAAACTGTGATTTATGAAACAGATTTTATGTTAGTTTCTCAATAACAAAGATCTCATGGCTAATCATAAAACTGAATTTTTACTTTTATACAGTATTGACTTTATGAGAGGCATTCAATAAAAGTAAGAAATAGTTTTAGTTTGTACATGTGTGTACTGGAGTTTACTATGTTTTTAAGACTTTGATAACAGTCACATAGTATAGGGACCTTTTGTGTTTACTACATTTTTGAACAACCAAATACTGTAATACTTTTTCCAGTGATGCTCATTTTGACCACAAGATGGCATCGCAGTAGCTCTAAATGATTAGGGGAAGGAAGACTTTATTCCAAGCACTCATTGTACCTCTCAAGGAAGGTAATAGACTGTATAGTTATCGCCTGAGTAGGACTGACTCCATCCCACAAACTATACAACCTACTACCTCACCTTGCTAGGCTCAACTTCAAGAAACAGAATCTCACAAAAAAAGAACACTTTAGAACATGCTGTCAGAACGATACAGTAGGTCACCATCCCCAGAGGTGCGTACAGCTTGGCAGACCATCCTGTCTCCTTAGGAAAGACAGTAGATTGCATAGTTATCTCAGAGGGAGGACGTGAACCCCACAACTATTCAATCTACTACCTCATCCTTGAGGACAGTTGTTTTTGCAGGTGATTGTTGAAATATGTCCATCAAACTGTAAGACAAAATAGAAATATGTTAGTTGTTTGATAGCACCAACTTTAAGCAAACTAACTTCAGTTTGGAATCATAGTGTTTGAAGTCAAGATCGTGTTGCTTTTTGGGTGATTTCTTTAGTTGTGAGTTAATGTTAGCTACCACAGTCCTGGTACAGACACAAGAGCTAAAGTTAGCTACAAATGGACCCGATGATGGGTATTAGAGCTTTTAAAAAGAAAACTTTATATGTTGACCATAATAGCTGTAATTGTATTATTATTACAGAGGCAATTATTATTGCCTCTGTCTAACATGATTCTATTTTATTTGCGCCCCTCCTCTTCAGAACACTGTCATTTACAATGACATTGAAAATGAATTTTTAATTGCACAAAGCTACTTTAAACAGCACAGCTGCAGATACTCTCAGTAGTGAGTACTTCCAGGTACTCACCACACCCAGGCAGGTCAGGCTTACAATGGCATGTTCTGCTTTAATTAACAGCTAGCTCTAGTATGTCACAACCTGACACCTGTGAACTTAATTTTTGTCAGTTCTTCGTGTGAAAATACCTTTGACTGAATAATGTAATTAAATTCATATTAAAAATAAATAAAGTGCTGCATCACACAACTTTTGGACAAAGTAATTCAAATTGTGTTTATAGCATCCCCTGCAGGGTAGGGAGGGAGAGCTACATTATCAGATTTTATAAACAGAGGGAGTGTAGTCTTACATACACAGCATGTAATTTAGTAGGAGCGGAGTCTTTACAAAAAGATGGTATTCTTTTAAGGTGTAAAGAATGCGACGGAACGCTAATGGCAATAATATACAGGAAGCAACCAAAAAGGTCAGCTCAGGACACGCTACAACTTCAAGGTTTTTGTAAGAGGACGCTCTCACTGACTTTTTTTTTTTTTTTTTTTTCGACAACTAAGACTGGCGATTACTCATTTAACAACTGTGTCTCTAGAGGGATACCAGTCAATAGACTGTCAGACCAACTAAAACTGAACACATCAAAATCTTGCAGGATATGAACAGCGAACAACATTTTGAAGGCACTTGCGATTCTACTGCCAAACCAACCAATCAATCTTCCCTCAGTTCCTGTGGCCCAGTGTTCCTTTTCTCTGCCTGTTTATTCTTTGTTGTGATATTTGTGCTACACCAGTATTCTTCTGACACTGTTGTCTCTATCAGACCTTTTCTTTTTCATTAGCTCTTGGTGACATGCATTTTAGCTGATGTTGGTAATCAGTTCACTCTACCTGTCCAGGTACTGCCAGAAATAATTTAAACGTGTTTTTTGACTGTGAATGATGTTGGGTTGGGTCTGTTCCCCTTACACAATAACTGAGTTCTGTGCCAACAAGCCATGCCAAATGTCCCTAACAACTACAGACTTGTCCAACAGTAAACCAGGAGTAAAATCTGGTTAAAATACTTGTATTTTTGTGTCCTTTGTTTTACAACATCAACACTGTTGACAGTTGATGTATTTGACTAAACACCACACAAAGAAACATAAAGCAGTTTTTATCTTTGCTAAGATTGAGTCACTTGCAACTGTCAGACCAAGTATTTGACCTACAGTTAACAAACGAAATACACATTCTTCATTTATGTATGTACTAAAGTCAAGATGCACTTCAACACTAAAAAAGGACCAATTTTTGGCAAAAACAAAAAACTACTCACTTTCACACAAGTGGGCACGTAACAAACGGCAGCTGGGCCAAATATCGGTGCCAACTTCCTGACATACAGAACAAAACTGCTTAGTTGTTCACTTTCAAGACTTTTTCTTGCAAATTACTCCCTTTACTTTTATATAAACAGAATCTAATGTTTCATATTAAGACAATAAACTTACAAACGACATGCAGGCCAAGAAAAAGTTATATTCATGGTGCAGTTTTAGGAGTCAATCCAACAACTATGGAGAGACCTGTTCATTTCTAGTCCTTTCTTCTTCTTCTTCTTCTTCTTCTTCTTCTTCTTCTAGGTTTTGGCAAACAATCCTTATGTATATTCTTCATACTCAAAGGAAGTGTAAAAAAAATAAAAAAGGCCCGATAGCAGCCAACTGACGAGTAGAAGTTTAGAAATTTGATGTGTACTTATTGGCTTAAGAAGGTTGGGATTAGCTAGAAAGTTGACTTTAGAGAATTGTCCTTTGTACTTCAGGGTTTTTTTAGTCGGTGTGAAAGCCACTTAATGTCAGTGACTGTTTACTGTGCCAGCTGGAGTCTGGAGCACGGGCAGAACGGAGCTGTCTGGGTCCAGACAGAGCCCTGCTTTGGCTGAGCCCATTGCATCCAGACACTGTTTTTGTAGACGACGACAGTCAGTCCATGCAATGGCTAGGACACTTTGCATAAATTAGCATGTGAACCATGGTGGTTGAAAAGCAGTTGGGCAGTTCATTAACATTCTGCGTTCCTGGTTGGTCTAATTAATGCTGACAGTGATTGAAATGTTTTGGCAGACGTTGCCAGTCTGATGCCAGGTCGTGCTCATTGGGGCAGATGAATGGCACAGGGGCATCTGAGAGTGAGAGGCTGTGATGAAGATGTTGAATTAATTTGACGGTAAACACAGGTGACTGCAAATATTGATCTTAAAATTGTACAACCAACATTCAACAAATTCAAAATTTGTTCCAGTAAAGACAATTTAAAGAAGAAAAAATCGACATGGAGGCACCGGACCAATCTAACCTGTCTATGCACCCATTTTCGTTTTTGGGTTGCTACCTTACCAGGCATTATTGGATTGGATTTTTTAGATTCATTTTTTTGATTATTAAAATGGCTCCGGATGACATTATGATAAAATATATCTTGGCAGGATTTTTTGTTTATTAGCAAAATAATTGTATAGTAGGAAGTCTGAAGAAAACGCAGCCATGTTTTTATTGGCTAAACACTTGCTTTCGTTGTTTCTGTTTCGCTGCCAACAGCCAAAGTTGCCTGCTGTCCCTTTTGATGCAAACCTCCCTTAACCACGCATCAGTGATTCATGTTAAACCTGCCATCAAATACGACAGCGAACGTTTTCCTTTAAACCTGGTCTAAAGCTTTGACTTTCACTGCTCCTGCTGGTAGAAACATGGCTGCGCTGTAGAAAATAAGAAAAGGGTTGTTTGGAAAGAAAACAGGCAGCGGAACAAACAACAACGCATCACTGACAATGTTAATTAACTGTTAATTTAGACAAAAAAGCCTGGGGCTATTTTCTCTGTCTCACATTTCTGACAAATTGAGAATTCAGCAGACAAAGGCATGAGGAGAAAAAAATACCCGTCACATTTTGGTGAAGATCCACGACGAACGGCAAAATTTGAGGGATGACTGTAAGGAAATAGACTTCTCGCTTTCTCTCCAACATTTGGTGCCTAGAATTCAGCATTGTCTGCGTGCCAAGCTAAATCAGGGAGACACAAAAACAGGGGGGTGGGGGGTGATGTCGGGGATGCAGCATGGCAGAACCCACGGCTGAGGGGGAGGAGAGTAGAGGCAGCTGAGCAATGAGATGATGCCATGTCAGGACGGGGGGTATGACACCCACTCAGAAAAGTACGGTGCCATCGCCTTGCTACCAGATGCTCAGTTGAGTGTTGATGTCATGTTAGCAAGGTGTTCACACACTTAGAGAATAGTCCCTTGTTCTGAAAGCAGACTGTTAGCATATGTGAGGTACGTGTGGTTATGTCTTGAGGTTTCACTTCAGTCTCATCATTTATGATGTAGCTTCCTGAACAAACCTCAGCTCTATGGTTGATTCACCTCCTCTGTTGAACATCTCCTCTGCCAGTACTATATCAGTACTTGATATTTGAAGCCATGATTTAATGACACAGTGTTTCTAATTAGTTGTCCTTTCAGGAAAGCTTCATGTAAAAGGTTTTCTTTTCTTTGGCCTAGTTCATTTGTGGTTGTCATTTTAAGTCGGACGACGGATCTGCTGAATAACTGTTGATTGGTGTTTTCGGTTTTCAATTTGTGCAGATGCCCAGTATTGTAAGAAACCCTGAAATGAACCACACTGCGGCCCCTCTGAGTCATATCTTCAGTCGTCAGTTCCTTTTTAGTTTTTTTTTGTCCTGTTCCTGATTTAACTCTCGTTCTATTCGTTGAAGATTATTCTTTCTTTCTGACTTTACAAAGATACATTTACTTCTAATCTCCAGCAAAGAACATAGGCTGTACAGAATATATATATATTAAAATTAAAAATAAATTAAACAAATTCACCCATACCCGCAAAATGTTCAGTAGTAGTTTTTCTGACGATCGTTCACTGACAAACGATTTTATTTGAACTTTCAACTTGAACCTTTAACAATTTCCCATGTAACTACTTTATGAAGCCTTAATGACTCAAACACATCAGACTCCAATGCCAAGAAATGGCAAACCTGTGGAATATTTGAAAAACTATTTCCGGAGTGAGCTTTCATCAAAGTCGATGTGAGATTTATTTTTGTATTTCTGCTTCCAGTTGGCTGTAGCAGGTTATTCTATGACTGTAATCCTGCTGTCGACGTTGATTCTTTTTACCTGGCCTAATCATAGCCAACAACAACGCGATAGAGCCAACGAGTCTTACCATCAAACAAGACTAAAAGGACCAGTAGGTGGATTAGTGGTAATAACACAGTATACGATTCATATATTAGTTTAAGTAAAATAGCTGAAAAGGTGTTACTGTAACTTTGATATGTTATTGTGGTTAATGTTGGATTGATTGTACAATAGTTTCTTGGTGAACTTTAGTCACCGCGGCTCAGTCAGTGACGTAGATTAGAGACAAATAGTTCAACGCAGGTAGCAATAACTTTTAAACCCTGCATGGTGTTTTTTTTTTTTTTTTTTTTAATCGTGTACAGTCCATGTTCCTGATTTCTTGTGACACAGCAGGGACAGGGGATATTTTATGTCATTAGTCATTTATTCTAACAAACAGGAAAAGCTTTAGTGTGTGTGTGTGTGTGTGTGTGTGTGTGTGTGTGTGTGTGTGTGTGCGCGCAGTCTGACCTGATAAAGGCAACATGCAGAAGAAAGAGAACTTTGATCCTGTTAACCACAGAGTCACTCTTACCATGGGGAGGAGAGAAACGCAAATAGCAGAGGATATGGCTTTCCAAACAACATGTCATCAAGCAGCAAAGCGAGTTCATCTGAGGAGAACGTAGGGGGAGGAGGAAGTACGTTTATTTTCTCTCCCTCCCCCCCGTCCCTGCCCCTTTTTTCCCTTCATTCACCCTTTCTGTACAGTGCACTTTGCTTTAATTTGTTGTTATCACACACTTTCAAAACTGCAAAGCCACTAAAAACTTGAGTCAACCACTGGAGCGTGTGCTACGACATCTGTGAACACGGTCACCGCTGCGAGTTTACTTTAAATAAAGTGGAATAGTCTTTGTGTCTGGGTGTAAAAATTGGAATAAAAGCGAAAAATATGTCCGCGCCGTATCTGTGGATCTGGTAACAAAACTCCAGTGAACCGAAAAGACTTGATCAGAACAGAGGCCATGTCATCGTTCGATACAAGCCTCTTCATGTATGGAACAATGCTTGCATCAGAGGGATCTGGTTTGTACTGGTTTTTGAACAGATACATCAAGACACAATTCAGACATCAACCTTTTTTTCTGTCTTCGCAATTGGAATAAAAAAATACTCCTGTATTTTTCAGACTCTTATAAGTGATATTTACTGTTTTTTGTGGTAAAATAGATGAGTAACAGCTGTCACACTAGCTTCAATGCTGGCCCATTCACACACCTAGGTCGCAAATTAGCTTCACAAGCTAAAAAAAACTCTCTTTTTAAGAGCCAATTATATTATTATTTATAATAATAAGTTTAATGATGTTATTGATGTTTTTTGGGCACATTTTTTAATCACCAGATGTCCAGTGTGGTCAGGCCTGACCAGTAAATGATCACAGTTTAGATTTTGGTTCTGTTTTAAAGAGACAGTAACACCACGACTAAATCTTGTTTCTTTGACTCATCCGACGTGTTCATGTGTTATTATGATGAGATAATATACACAAAATGATATGTTTTCAACACCGCAGGAAAAATAAAAATGGCGCGAATTAAGGCATCGTGTTCGGTCCAACCACAGCATATGTGTACGGTGAAAAAACCACCACGCACATATGAAGTGAGAATTCAATACAAATATGAGTATCAAGGCCCAAGAGGAGCGGAAATCAAAAACCAGAAATACCTTGGTGGTGACTTTTTCTGTACAGGTCAGGCAAGTGTTCACCTGCACAGGAGGCCGTGGTTGCGATGGTTTGAAATCAAGGCAGGTTTTTAAAAAGGAGAATGAAAAAGAGAAAGCATTTCCACATCCTTCTTTTTCGCCTGCAAGACGAGGGAAAGGCTGAGAAACGTACAAGCGAGGAACCCCACTCGAACAAGGGCTGGGGGTTGAGAGCGGTTTCTGGACCATGCCCTCCTCTCTCCCTGCCCACTTTTGCCCTGCTGCCAAGTAAGAGAGACAGCAAGAAGAGAAGAGAGACAGGAAAAGAAATGTAGAAGTCGAAAAGTGACCAACAGAAAGGGCAAAATGTTGAAGAAATATGTTTCAGAGTCGACAGATTTGGTGAGAAAGTTGCTTTTTGATAGACGCACAGGTTTGGCTGTGATATCAGAGACGATGGTAGAAGGAAGGAGAGAGAGAGAGAGAGAGAGAGTCTGAAAGACACAGAGTTGAGTAAATAATCCTGGATAAAGGAATCAGAAGTGAATACTTACATGTTGTCTTGAAGCAAAGCCAACAGGGTTGATAGATTGATCTGCAGTTGGCCAAACAACTCAGTGCCAGATATTTCTTCAGCTCTTTTTTCCGAGCAAATGACTTTAAGGCTGCGTTCAGAGCCATGCAGCAAAGGCTTTTGTCAGCAGTTGGCATCGTTCCCAGGTAGTACATGCCTCGCAGTTTCCATTTTCGATAGTCATTCCGAACGTCTTTAGTCGTTCTGCACCTGCCTGTGCTTTTAATTCAGACTGGTCGCACGGCACGCAGAGAAAAATCCACATCCATCTGGGTTGTTATTTATTTTGAGTGGAGAAGTGAAAGGAAACCAGTGTTTGCACTTGACATGACAGACTTGTGGTTCTGCATGTTTACCACAGAATATCCTCAAGTCACAGCATGTGTCATGGAGGACTGGAGCACAAATATGGGCAAACGAAGAGTACGTTTTTTAGGAGGGATCGTCTCCAAAATACACATTACTGTAGCACGTCACCAAAGATGTGGAAAACACTGAAAGAATCCAAAGTACACATCTGGAAAGAGTACGAAATGATGCCATGGACACCCGTTAATACGGTATCTCTCTTCAGGCAATATCCAAGACAGCTTCCTGTGTGATGTCACTGACCCTTTCCCTTTTTTTTTCCAGAACAATAATTATTCTTAGACATACCTAATGTTGTGTCTGTCTCCATGTGATCCTCTTCCCAAAAGCTTATTCCAAAAGAATGGTTACATTTTAAGGAAGGTTTAAATGTAAATACTAATGTTCAGTCAATTTGCGGATCAAGGAGGAGCAGAGGAGAAGGAAAGAGGAGCTGCAAACTGCCTTTACAGATCTCACTTTGTGTCCCTGTCTTCCTGCTCACAAACACAGAGCGTGTAAAAGTTTCAGCTGCAAGAGCTTGGGCCAGCCTCCACTGGCACCGATTCAAAAGAGCCAAAGAACCATGGGGACAAGTCTCTCTCTCTCTCTCTCTCTCTCGCTCTTCTCCTTTCTCTCCCTGACTCGGGGCAGTGACCATTCTCAGACTTTTATTCCGGTGCCAGCTAACTTGCAGCACAATAAGACATCTGTTCATCTGCTGTGGATTCACAGACGTCCCGATTGCCCCACGTTGGCAGGTCTCAACCACAGACACACGGAGAATGGGAAATGCAAGCTGCAGCACTATTTCCTGGTTACTTTGTCCTCCATTTCAGATGTGTGTATGTGTGTGTGCGTGTGTGTGTGAAGTTCTCACCACGCTCTCAGCACTTCCTGTGTAACAACCCACACAAGGTTCAGGCTGTTTCATCCTTTTTTTTTTCTCAAACTACTGAGGGACTTTTTGTCGTAACTTTGATTCACATTATCGTTTTTAGTCTCCTTGAAGTCGGAAAAAAATAAACATGTGTTTATTTCTGTTTTTAGTTCTAGCCAATAATCTTGTACACACTGCTACACTTGGGATTTCCAAATGTAT